ATCGTAACCGTTGATAAGACAGGAGTGTTTGAGCACAACGAGGTCCAACCATCCGCAGCGGCGCCTCCTTCCAGTGGTCGTTCCATATTCCCGTCCAACCTCTTGGAGGTGTACGCCGACATCCTAGTGCACAATCTATTTAAATCATCAGTGCAACAGATGGTCATATCGACAAGCTTACATTCAATTGCTCCGACGGGAAAGGTCCACCGCCTACGCGTGTCGTGTAGGCTTTCACAACACCAATCGTCTTCCCAATCATCTTCGGTGGGATCCCAAGACCAGTACATACGCCACCAATAGCGGTCGAGGACGATGTCACGTATGGGTATGTACCGAAATCTAAGTCGAGCATCAACGCATTCGCGCCCTCTACAAGGACCCGCTTTCCTGAGGAAATGGCTTTGTGGATGTACGCGACACTGTCGATGACGTATGGCCTCAATCGTTCTGCGATGACTTTGTATCGCTCAATTTCTCCTTCGGTGTCGTATTCGAAGTTACCGTAGCGCTTGAACCGACCTTCTACAATGCGGCGGAATTTTGGAGCGAAGGTGTCGTGGTCGAAGAGATGATGGACGCGAAGACCAGAACGGGAGGCCTTGCCTGAATAGGCTGGGCCAATACCCTTCTTGGTTGTACCAATGCTAGTGTACATTAGAAGTTGTACCAGTGAGAAGGTGTACGGGGATACACACCTAGAGCCTCCAAGTTCAACCTCCTTGAGTCCATCCACAATTTGATGGAAATCAAACACCAGCTGGGCACGATCTGAGATGAACAAACGTCCCGTACAGTCGAGGCCTGTAGGTATTAATAGTGAGATCAGCCTTATTCTAGCCGGAAGCAGAATCTCCTACCTTGCGATTGTAGTGCATCCAGTTCCGCAAAAAATGAGGGTATATGGATCACTACACCAGAGCCGATAAGACCCGTACACGAAGGATTGATCAGCCCTTGGTTTAAAGTGTTCATTGAGTCGATATATCCAGCAATAAGCAACGAAGAAGAACGCGTACCGCTAGGAAGCAAATGGAAAGCGAACGTCGTTGGTATCTTCTCTGGGCCCATTGGGACAATGATTGTATGTCCAGCATTATTTCCACCAGCACATCTTGCACAAACATCTACTTCAGCAGATAGTATGTCCACTAGTTTCCCTTTGCCTTCATCTCCCCATTGCGATCCTAAGACGACCGTGACTGTGGCCGGAATTAGCGACTTATCTTATCAAGAGATGGAACTGATAACGCACCGCTCATAGTACCAAACGGTCAGGAATGGGACTGCGTCTATGTCAGTCGAACTACTTGCGATCAGTAAAGTTAGCAAAGAAGGAGAAGATGCAGATAATCATCCCACCCACTTAAAGAAATTGAGTCAATCGCAATCATTTCGTCCGACGTGGCCGGCTATATCCGAACTTCGGTCGACAAACGCTACTCGAGCACTTTGAATCAGTTTGAACCACGATGCCTGCGTTCACGTCTCGCCCACTGGACTTTTCGAGAATTAACAGGGCCGTAAAGAAGAATCCGGCGTTATTTGGCGTCCCTTTTGTTCTGCTAATGGTCGCTGCATCGTATGGTCTTACGACGTTCACGCAAACGAGGTATGACTTGCATGACCAGAAGGTTAAGCATGTACGTGTTGCGCGTAATGTCCTGAGCAATCCGACTTACAATCGCCCAGGTCACTAAGGAACAGGAACTAAGGTTGGACAAGAATCGAAAGAAATTTGATATTCGGGAAGAGTACTTTGTGAGTCTGCCTCCCACATGTAGAAGATGACGCATCTCTTAAGTGCGAGTTCACAGCGTCTCAGCGCTGCTGCGGAAGAAAATTGGGAACCCAAACGAATACAGCGGCCGGAAGGATTGCCAGAGTGGGGTGTACCACCCACAGAACCGCCTTCGAAGCCGTCATGAGCCTGTGGGCTTGATTACTATGCTTTGAACCTTCCCAATGATCACAGGTGGCCCATCCAGAGAACCTCTTTTCCGAGTCCGGATTCTCCGGCACCAGCAGGCGGTACAGGTCCGCGACAAGTATGAATATCATTGCTGGGTTCGTTGCCACAGCGTTCGTCTATCATGCTTTGTTAATATATTATATATTATTGGAGGTTGGTCGTTCGCCGTGTTGGCAGCGTGTTGGCAGTCCGGTCGATCACATCGTGTTATGGTATTCCTATCATTTTGCTGAATTAAGGCGTGCACGATGAATATACGATTAATATACATTTCTCTGAATTTATTTTGGAAATTTTATTACACGAGATACAAATGTTCGATTGGACTGCCAACGCAGCCCAACTACCAACCTCCAACAATTCAAGTTACGATGTAGAGGCACGTCCTGCAGTGATCGTCCATCTTTGTCAGGCTTCGCTCGTAACATTAGATTATGTCAGATAGCGGGGGGTAATACATGGAGAGGTATGCGGAGCTTACCGAAACATATTGGGCGAAAACCCGTGAGGGCTTCCCTGCCGAACAGGCAGTGGACAGGAGTCTTAGCTGCAATACCCAAAAGATTAGGAGGGTCCGATGCGTCGAGCCAAGGCTCAACACCCAAATTATTAGGAGGAGCATGGTAAGCCGCTATCAAGGGGGGGTACCCATGTGTAGGTAAAAAGGTGCGCCAGTGTGTGTTGCAGGGTGAGGCCGGGCTGGAACCATGCAGTGGGATGGACAACGGGGTAGGGCCTAACACAACGGCGGGGTCTAGACCTCGGGGCGGGGCGGGGCGAGCGTAGTGGGGCATCAGTCCAGGGCCCTCAGTGTCCTTGAGCAGGAGACAAAGTGAGTGGGGCTCCCCGCTAGGCTGACACGGCCAGCACTGTAGCTGCCAATGTTGGAATTTCGGCCAGGGTCCTCTGGGTCCCTTGGGAAATCTGTGTCTTCGCAGGATGCTGCCCAAGTTGTATAAACCATGGAAAGAGTCCAGAGGAAAATAAAGCAGCGGGCGGGCAGTGGCGGCAGACACATCGAGGTGACATCGAGGTGGCGAAGAAAGCGCCATACCTAATGTGACCGTGGCTCGCCCACGAAAACCGTGCTCTGCTGCCATCACTCGTTCCTCGCTAGTGGCAGACCTTTAAACTGCACGAACGCCACCCATTCAGGATCACTCAACCCGAGTTTTGGCATTGTGCCTGAAACGACCAAATCCCTTTTCATACCAGAGACAAAATACAACAGAGTGGGTAACATTTCAAGTGCGCTACACTTGCATCCTCTGAGATTCCAGGGAAAGGATTATCACAAGATGAAGGGCCATATAGCCTTCCTTCTCGGATAATCCTTTCCGAACTCTTTCCGGTAGTTCTTGTGCTTCTTGATAGCCCAAACTGTCATGATATAAGCTGAGAAGGCAAGGAACAAATATGCTTCACGACAAGTAAGCCCCCACTCGCTACTATATAGTATAGGTTCAAGCTCACCAGCGAGGCTGTTCGTCATTCCAGTGATAATTGCCCAGCCCATCACCTCAAAAAAGTAGTTGGGGCATGACACAAGGAAAAAACCATATCCGTAGGGAATTGCACGGGTGCGAGTACCGGCTGGACGAAGAGAGCGCAAAGTCATGTGGGTATGGAAGTTGGACAACTCCGCGAACTACCAGATGCCAGCCTATCGGTCAACGCGCTCGAAGGATGAGGGAAAGTGTGCTCACAGCCCAAAGTCCAGCAGCGACATATAAGAAGTCCTTGTTATTACGGTAGGTGCCAACAATGAAGGGTGAGGCAGCAGAATACTTTGGGCGGTAGATGTCGTATGCGAGGAAGAGACCGCTGAGAATGTGATAATGCGCCGAGCTGTATATAGGGGTGAGCCGCATGCAGTCGCCGGAGCCACTTAAATGACATACTTGCGGAAGATATTTCCGATGGGCATTGTGCCATTCGAGAACCGGTGGACACTATTGACTGGCATTAGAACGGTTAATGGCATTTAAGGGGAAAAGACTCACAATATCGTCTCGAGTTCGCGTTTGATGAAATGAAGCATCACGAATGCAAATACATACTTTTGCAGCGAACTGTGAACGACCTCCTTTCCGTACCAGAACTTGGAGAAGTAGTAGAACAGTGGGTGGATGAGAAGCGGTCCTCCCTATTCAATCACCGGTCAACCAGGATAATTTCCCAAAAAACATGACGAGCACGCACGTATTCCACAAGGAAGACAGTCCGCCAGCTAACCTGTGGACCCAAGTCTTTCACCTGCAGTTCCGCCCCTTGTAGCTTTTCCCCTAATACTTCACTGAGCTTTTTATCGTCTGACAGCGCTTTCCTGTCATTTTTGAGAGACAGCTTTTGTCTCGACGCGTAAAACTTGATAAATAAGTCGAAAATAGAATTGTATCAGCACCACAATCCACGAACAGAAAAAGGGACATACTTTTGGATATTTGGTTGAAATGGCTGCTTTGACGTCAGCAATAGTTCCATCCTGTGGTGCTTCAACAGTGATGGGCCAGTCTCTAGCGAATGGCGGTGGTTTTGAAGCTGAAGATATCGTGATATTCACCATGACTACCACCTGCAAAGGTTGGTTTGTTGTTGAAGACGAGCTGAACGATCCAGACGTGTGAATGCTGAATTTGGATTCCAAGTCCGTAACTGGTCCTTCCCACGACTTATACGGCATACCTATGTCTCTCCCCTCAATGTGTACTATAGGCGTTATTGCAGCCTCTTATACCCGGGTCGGGCTGTACGTAGTCAAATCCCCCTTGGTCCAGCGAGCTGCATCATATATAATAATATCTTCATCTTTAACACGGTCCTGCCATTAGTGTTATGGCGTGACAACGTCGGGGTGACCCTAAGGAGATCACGTATGTTTAAAAATCACACAACCTCCTGTCGATATTTAACTCAGTTCATCAATCTATTAATCAACATTCACCTCACATCGTAACAATATCCTCAATTATATTAGTATAATCCTTACCCCCGCCCTCGCACCAGCCTCTCATCCAATTAGCATACAGGGTCGATGGCGTAGTTGGTTATCGCATCTGTCTAACACCTCCGCTGATTCGCCGGTTGGTTCACAGAAGGTCCTCAGTTCGAACCTGGGTCGACTCATGACAAAGCGGATTTTTTTCCTAGCAGCCGCTTCCTTCCCAGCGCCAGATATGAATGATCCGTGGGATCCAGAGCTCATATACTATGTTAGTGAAGAATTGACGATACCTCAACGACAGCCTCTGAAATGCAAACGAAAGCAGTTCAAGAGCTCTGAGGACCTATGATCCAAGATAGACAGACAAACAACCAGTGAGCCTGATCCTGCTCAGGGTTGTGCGAAAAGGGAGTCAATTTCGATTCGGGCGCCAACTCATCCCACAGTCCGGACATGAATATAAATGCATCCCCCCATGCCTGGGGAAACTGCTATGCTCGATCAAGCCGGTACAATTCAGAGGGGAAATACCCCTCAAGCTGAACCAATACGTTTGAGTAGAACCGACAGCGCACCCATGTGAAGTGCTCACCCAACAAGAGAGTAGGACTATAATTGTGTGCAGATGGGATCCGTCTTTACTAGGGCTGAGTTGGCGAGCAGCAGATTCATAATATGACCACACATCATCCTCGTGCTTCAAGACAAAGAATATCCATGTTTTCCCGTTAGAAAGGCAAAATCGGACTTGTTTGAGGCTTTAAAAAGAAGGGTTTGGCAGACCATCAATGATGAATAAATACTATAGACATACCCACCAACGACCGCCGCAGAAATCGCTTGGCTGACGGCTTCTGCTCTGTAAGAGGCGAGGGTTGCGCCTGGCAGCGCTTGGCACTTGCTTCTAACGAGGAAGAGGCGACCGTTAGAGATCTTGAACACATCGTCTCTGGACCCGCCAGGCGATATAAGTCGGTCTAAAGTATAAGAATTAGGTAGGAAGAATTTTCGAAGCCCCAATGTACCTCTGTGATCATCGACGGCCTCGTATTGAACAACAGCATAGTCGAAACTACCTGTGAAATACAATTCATACCCATCCTTGATATTTGACACTCTGACACCTTCCGCAGGTGTAACATTGAACTCTGGGAGAATGGCTACATCTGACTTCTTGTCCGTGATGGTAAGTCTCCGGAGAGAGAGTAAAATGGCATCCAACACCATGCGAGCGCCCGCCTCATGCTGAATGCGAACGTAATGGAGGGCTGTATGGTAAGAGCGAAATAAAACCTACATCCATGTTAACACACTCATCCATCTCCGAGAGGTAAGGGTCTAGGTTGGAAATTTCCTCGGCAAACATCGAGCCTACCTGCTGGCCGATGTCCTTCAGAACGCTGTTGTTTATGATTAGGCGTCCTCGAATCACACCCAACTTTTCAAGGTCAGCGTCGGAAACTATCGAGAAAGATACTTTCTGTACCGTTGTTCGGTATCATGTTCATATATATTTGAAAATGAGGCGTACAGGTTTTGCAGCCTTACTTAGAATATCCTCTAATGCTCCCATATGTTGCGTAATCGCATTCATCTCAGCTTCCGTTTCTTGGATGCCTTCCAGCTCTTCCTTCAGTGCGGCCAAGTGGATTGATGCCTGCCTCGTTTTTGAAATATCGACGGGCGAGTCCTGGATGCTTCGTTTGCGTTTGTGTATAGACTGAGGTGCAGGCATATCGATGGATGTTGTGGCAGGAGGATGAGGGCTGTGATGCCAAGCAACCGCCTACAAGTACCCATAATCTATATGTAAGTTGTGATCTTTGATGGAGACGTATTTAGTGTAAGCATGGCACACACGCCGCATACCATCGATAGTGATTAACACTTGCATCCCCGACTCTGCAAAGCAAGAGGAGGGTTCTGTCGTGTTAATTTGGTCCATTCCTCTGCCTTACCCCGTGGGAAATGTCCGGTCTAGATGGCCTGGACCTGGCCTGAAGGTCTCGATGCCACCTCTGCGGATCATTATTTGCTTACCTCAACTCATCGTAGAGTCCCCGACTCCCACTGTATGTCATTTGACACACGGAAAATGCGGTCAAAGTGAACCCGCATACTACTGGAGGTTGGTAGTTCGGATGTGTCAGCAGTATGGATACTTACCGGACAAGCTCTTTATGCCAACATGTCTTGCCCACTCGCCTACCTAATCTGAAACAAGACAAAGATAAGGCCTCGCCCCCTCATCTAGCATAGATAAGTTTTTGCATTTCACCCCCTATTTCCCTTTATCTCTCTTGCCTTGTATTTTACCTCGGACTTCACTTTTGGCCTCAATGCCAACCGAGGAGAGTACAGCCGTTTCGGTTTAGTTTGGCCCGCGTGATGGGCGATACTCGAAATACACAAAAAATCAGAAAAATAAGGAAATTGTCTACCTCTTGTCCACACGCTTCCTACATTATCTAGTGTACTTTTTTCGCATCTATGGACCATCGGCGCATTAGTCCTGACTTGAATCAGCGTACGCTTTCACCTTTAGACCAAGAAATGTCACCCAGAGCCATTGCCGAAGTATTGGGTGTACCAGCGAAGAGTATTGGGTGTTGGCGTGTCGTTTATGAGCAATATGACTGCGTTGCACCACCGGGGGTCCTGCTAGGGCGTCCTCGCTTGCTGACAGCTCTAATTTTAGAGGAGTTATGCCAGCTTATTGAACATGATCATCCAACGCTCTACTTGGATGAACTTCGTGACTGGCTCGCTGTCTACCACGACATTCAGTGGGTTATTTTGTTACCAATTAATACCAGTGCTACTCTCTGCTATACATGTTTGATAAGCCCTAAGGATATGCACATGACTGAGTGGTAAAATATGAGCCCATTCCCAAGGCTGATCTTATTTTTCTGAATTTTTGCCTATTTCGATCATTTTCGAGTATTGCCCATCACGTGGGCCAAATCAAACCGAAACGGCTGTAGGCATTCAACCACCATGTTCACCCTAATATCTCCATTTTTACCTGATGCTCCCTTGTTCCCTCATCTGTCTCCCCATCCAATTCCAAAATCTTGCCATAGATATTGTTTACCTTCCCCTTTTGACAATGGAAACGGTAGATACATTCAGAGTATAAATATGAATATGTATCTACAAGTTTTGGTAGTGAAGTTATATCTCATCTCTCTCTATTCGTCAGCTCGAGCCCGTAAGTTCCTTTCACCAGCCCTCGAAACCCGCCATGTCACTCAGTAACTTTCCGCAATGCCGTGCTTGCGCTGAGTTTAAACTTGATATCCTCTACACTTGCGCACATGTATCGCAGTCAAGTCACTTGCTGGCTGTACAAAATTTCTGGTGTGATGGGCAGAACATTGTTTGCTGTGCGGCTTTCACGGACGTGTGCCATGGTGTACACTAGAGTCGGGGACTTGGCGCACCGTGCCGCTACGATTAAATAACAGCTCTGGGTAGATTATATTTCGATCTCAATTTCCAACTAACCATGAGCCGTAAAAATATATAGGAACTAATAACACCCCGTTCACAAGTACATTCCACCTTCCCCAACTTCTGATCGACGAGAAGCGGCCGTAGATTTCGGAGACGTCGGGGGACCACCTTTAAGCTCCCAATGCTTATAAGTAGGCTCCCCAATCGCACGAAAGAGCAACTGCTGAGCCTGATCCATAACCGCTGCAGACCACTCCGTCACATCCTGAGTGAGGTGAGTAAAGTTACTAGGCTCAATAGTGCGAGGAGCGGGTTTGAGGATGTTAGGTGTCGGCAGGAGGATCAGTGTTCCCGGTGTATTGGAAATACTAAGGAGAGAGAGAAAAGCCGCAGAGGTGGTATTGACGAGATTTGGAGGAGCAAATGGTTGAGCCTCATTATTCTACAGTGCATAAGCGAGAGAGATAAGATATGATTGTGAGAGATGACGTACAGAGTCGAAGGCACTAATTGAGAGGAAGCGGATAGGCGCGTCGAGTGCAGAGGCGGAGCTAGATATATACGACGGCACTGCATACTCATCCAGTAGAGCAACACTAGAATAAGTGTCAGCAGGAACATAACACAAACTCGAGCAGACGGCACCTAGTTGGCTTGAGAGCATCAATGATGGCTTGCGCGTACGGGTGCATTGCCCACACCGGCAGCCGCGAAAGAGCCTCCGAGACGATAACAGTCGCATTTGTCCACGCCGGATTGAACACAAGTCCAACCTGGACACCATTCGCAGCAATAGCGCCAGTCTGTTCTCCAAGATCTGTGCCGCGTGCCCAGAATGCGCCAGGGTCGGCGGTGGCGACGACGAGGCTACGCTGTGCCGGGACGTCACCGATGAGTTTTACAGTGAGCTCTGGGACACTATCAGGTTGATTTTGGGGGTTAAACTCGTCCTCGTCGTCGGACTCGATGGCATGGCGTGGAGGGTTGTTGTCGGTGTTGTGGATGTCCATGGCAGAGTTCCTAATTAGGAAGATCGCTAATCTCTACCAACAACACCCACCATGGCACGTACATCTCTCCGTTAAAAGATCCCCAAAAGAAATACTGACAAGTTTCTATAGAGCGACAACGCAGGTCTGTATATCATGTACAGGTTTCTCCCAACGCTGACGGGTATGCAGAGTACAAAGAGGCTTTTGCCCTGTTCGACAAGCGCGGCACTGGTGCCGTACCCCGCGAGGTTCTGGGCGATCTCCTCCGTGCACTAGGCCAGAACCCGACACAAGCAGAGGTTTCTGAGATTGTCGCGTCTGCTCCTCGCGATGGTACGACGCGCGCGTGCTTTACCCAATGCAGCCTTGACTGACGAGCCAGTGATATAGTTGACTACAAAACCTTCCTCAACATTCTCAACCGTCCTGATGGATTCAAGCCTGCAGGCACACCTGGTACGCCGATCATACATCCACATGTTCCTATCTCTAATTAGGCATTTCAGAGGAGTTTATCCGCGGTTTCCAGGTCTTTGACAAGGAGGGCAACGGCTTCATCGGCGCCGGCGAACTCAGATACGTCCTCACCCAACTCGGCGAGAAAATGACAGACGAAGAAGTCGACGAGCTACTCAAAGGTGTCCAAATCGGCGCGTAAGCATCCATTCCCTCTCAAAATCCTTCACAACACTCATCCCATCCTTTCCAGCGACGGCAACATCAACTACGAG